CAAGCATAACTCTTCATCAAGTAAGATTTAGAGAATTCTGTTCATATTTATTGAAGGCCATGCTCTAATGTACTGGAAAATACTACCAGCTATCTCTAATGTGCCAACACAACGGTAAATGGGCCAACTAATCGATTTTCTTACTTTAAAGCTTCTGAACCTAGTGCTTATATTTCAGCAACACTAAACAGTTAAGATAGACTTTTTCAGCTCACAAAGAAAGATTTAGGAGCTTGGAACACACTGTGCTAAAGTTATTGTTTATTGAAGACAAAAGTCATTTGTACAGAATGAATGACAGACAGACAGAACATAGATATACGACTGTTAGAGGGATTGGAGACTCTTGGCAATCAAACAATTAGTGCCTACCATCCGTGTTTGCCTTAAGTCACACCCCTTTCACAATGGCAGCTATCATGATCCTTACAAGAAACTACTCAAAATGCTATAAGGTCTACAAATAAGCATTCAATACTGCAATAGATAATGATATTGACAGATAATTAAAATTTGTGTTCTATAAGTGCCTTTGAAGCATCATATCTCTTATATTCATGATTCTTTTACACAAAAACATTAGTTTTATTCTTCCATTTGCAGACCTATAAATACCAAAATAAATGTTACATCAACTTAAAACTGACATTGCCAAATATTTCATCATAGTAGCTCTCCATTAATAAAAGTCTTACAACCATTCATGATTCTAGTAAGCTGGTTCAGTCCCACAAAGTCAACAAGTGGAAAATACCCTTTAGGCTCTACTGTTGCAGTATCTACATCTGTAGGCACTTATAAAGGACCCAGTCAACTACTTTAAACCTTTACCTAACTTCTCAATACCTTACCTGTCTGAATTAAGCTTCAAAACTAATACAATATTCCCACAAAAATGAACTGTTGGTTCTTTTCTTCCTCCATTGAAATAGCACAAGGTCAAAGAAAAGGCATGACCATGAATATTTAACACAAACGCGGATGGTGAGTGTAGTAGTAATGCACTCACATGACCAGTCTCCATTCCCTCTAACAGTCATATATCTATGGACAGACACAACAACTGCCTATACCTCGCGTACGCGACGCCAATAAACTCCTACCACGACACAATCCACCCCAATGAGTAAAGACAAATCCCTTACCTGTCCAAAGCAATGCTTCACTGATTTCACCGCTGAGTAAGCTTCACTAATTTCACCTCCGAGTATATTAGCTGACCACACAGCTGATTCTATCAATGCATAAGTAACAGTAGCTACTTATCTTTTAACTTACCGCTATGAAAATACAGGTGCAATTTGCTGCGCTTCTTATCTTGTCGCCTGCCTCAGGTCAAGTGACTGATCACTGGATTCACTGCGCATGCTCAGACTTTAGGCAATGACCTCCTACCCCTAAGCCTAACCCCTAATAGGGGAGGAGGTTCATGCCACTGACTCAAAATGGAGGATTCTCTCTTTTTTTCTTTCGCCTGAGCAATAATTATCTCACTAATAGTACCTGCCATAGACTGAAAAACATCAGTGAATCCAGTTAAAAGACCAATAAACACGATACCTGTCAGCTACAGGTAGCAAAAGCTAGTCCTCTACCTCAAATGGCTAAACAACACTTTTCTAGCAAATGGATTTAAGGTACTCGCATGCTTGTATTGTTTGTTTGTATGTAGACTCTTATTTATCTATAAAATGTGATAGTTGAAAAAGTTTGAGTCCATTACTATGATTAATGTGTCACGAAGCTTGATTAAAGCAAGCTGGTACAAGTGTTATTGAAACTTACCTTCCTTTATTTTACTGTGTTGTTTTTTATTGTTATACATTGAATTTCAGTCTGGTGTTTTTTTTTCAAGGATGCTGGAGCTTTAAGGTAAGCTGGGGAACAAAATTTAATTATTTAGCTCAAACTTTGCAACTGAAGGTCTTGAAGGCTTGAAGTTTCCACATAATTATCATATAGCTGACACTACCTAATGATTCCAAGTTTAATTTCTTTCTTGCAAAGTTTGTGAAGCCAACAACTTTTTGTGTCATAAAATAAGTCGGGAGTTGTAGTATGATGAAGATCAGAAGCAGCTTATTGCCCTCCATGAATCTGCTATGGTAGAAGTACCATGGTTGGTAAAGCAAAAAGGTGATAAGGATTGTGCCTGTTTTGCAGTAGCATACGCAGTATCTATTCTTTATGGAGATGATCCTGTTAACAGTATATTCGATCAGTCACACATGAGGCAACACATGATTGAATGTGTCAAATACAGATTTTACATGCCATTCCCACCTACGATATGAAAATCAAGACACCATGTATCAGAATATGTTACCCAACTACCTTGATTGTTAAAAACAAGTTAACAAATGTACTCTATAGATATTATTTAATGTTCAAAGTTATTGTATTGGTCTATGTAGTTTATTGTACTTGCAAAATGCATGGCAGAATGTTAAAGGTGACCAGATAAATGATGCACTGCATGTGTAGCTATCCCATATAGCAGGAAATTTTGGAGGGAGTTAAATTTGGCAATTTGCTAAATTTTGGTAATTGCCAAATTTGTGGCCACATACCATTGAGCATGCATATAATGGCTTGAAGTGGTGGATTTTATTTTGGAGTTTCGCTATTGAAAGGCCAAGTTTACTAACTTGAATTCCTTCCAAAATTTTCCACTACAGTATATGAGGGAAACAAAGTGCTGTTGCATTATGAAAAACAGTGCACAAGGCACTTTTTCTTCCCTATTGTATTGTAGGGACAAAATAGTGGTGGAAGCACTAATTTTACCCTATAGACAAATAATGCAGAAGGCACTAATTCTTCCCTATAGTATTATAGGGACAAAATAGTGCAGCAAGCATTAATTGTTCCCTTAAGTATTGTAGGAACAAAGTAGTGCAGCAGGCACCCTATAGTATTGTAGGGACAAAATAGTGCGTGGTACTAATTTCTGCCTACATAGATAGGTCAAATTGTATATGTGTGTAATTGTGCCTAGTGACACCATTATGTAGGAAGGAAATAGTGCATTTGAACACTATTTTTTCCCTCTATGATCATGTTTTTTAAAAATTTAATGACATACTCTACGGATCGTAAGAAACAGACACACCCCAAGTTACACAAAAGCTTCAAAAACATTTGCAAAACAGCTGATGGCAATTATTTTATCATAGATATACAAGTATAAAGCAACCAAATACTTAACTGTAGCAGCAAGTGAATTGGTGCTACAACTTACAAAAAATCTATCCATTCTGGAGTCATGTAATAAGTATAATAGCTGTTTGGCTTGTTATTAATAGTACTACTTCATCTCATAACAGGACTTTCCGTTCAATTCCACTGAAGATGATTGAGAATGAGCCACAACTCTCGTTATTGCCCTCGCACACACCATAGGTGTATAGGCAAGGGTACTGCTCTCCTTAATTATGTGTAACTCCCCTGCAACTCTTCTATACCACTAGCTATGCTTAACTAACACAGAGTTACATGAAATCACACCTTTTCCCAACTTTTCTTTCCAAAATGATGAAATATTTCTTTTCTTAGGGTCCTCCAGTCAACTTTTCTTGTCTTATCTCATGTCTTAGGCATCTTGTATAGATACATCATACATCTTTGTTAAACACATTCAATTTTACCTCAATTATTAAACAAGGTCTAACAAAAGTAACTTGGATAAAACAGCGATAAACAGTTGAACCCTGAGGAAGTGAACAGTCAACAGTAAACTATAGGCTTATAGCTGCACCTACTCAAATTAACTGCATGCAAAGTTGGCGTACTTTCTTCCTGTATCTCACTTAATCATGTGACACAAAATTATTCATAAGCTACATCAACTTTAATTCATAACAATATTAATCATAATTATTCATGGAGACTTTAATAATATTCATTAATGCAATATTATATTCATAGCACAACATTAATTCTGTGACTTTCTCGCAAAAGCCACAATAAAAAGAATTATCAATAAAAACAAAACTGCATTTAGTAATGGAAAAATAGCAGTGCTATCTGGTCGAATCAATAATGGCAAGTTTCCCACTCGCTTATTTGTTGAAATCCATGCTTCACTTAAGCTGCCATACACCAGGCAAACGAAAACATCACCTTCCATTGCAACCGAGTCTGGAATGAGAAAAGGGTGATAAAATTACCTAATTACTAGAGCTAAGTGCCTAAAGAATCAAAAGTTATGCACAAATATTTAAAAAATATTTTAAGTTCAATGCACAATTGATAAACAGTGCATGGTAATAATTTGAAAGCAGCACAAGTTGTACACCTTTTTGTTTCCTTTAAAGTTGTGGTATTTATAATTTAAAGACAGACATTACCGTATAGCTGGTAATTTTGTGGGTTGCAAAGTTCATGGATTTTGCAGATTCCTTACTGATTCACGAAAATCAATTTAATACGGTACCTGCATGGTACACGTGGCAGAAGTCACAAAATTATAATCCGCGAATTGGATTTTTAGTAGATTTCGCGAAATATAGGACCCACAAAAATTACCAGCCATACGGTGTTACATGTACATGTATTAGAAAAGGCTTACTGATACTGCATTGTGTCCATTCTACAGGTACAATGGATAACAAACAGTAGTCCCCCAACTCAAAGTCAACAATCAAATGATTAACACATGTCAGGCTGAGGTTGTCCTTGCCTCTAGCTGTAGGGAACTCTAGCTGGCAGTGAGTATGTTGCGCTTTATAGACACTGCTTATTCTTGGATTCTTTCTCTTAAACTTCTTTCTTTCTCAACAATAGGAACAAATCACATGCACACAACAGAGCATGCTCAGTACAAATTAATCATAACAATAATAAATAATAATGAGAGAAATAAATTATTCAATTCTCAACACTCCACCACATTGACTGCAGTGGTCAGTCAATATACATAACATATCACAACATTGTACATGTAATAAGAAAATATACATCAATAATAATGAATACATAACTAAGTTTAGTGTTAGTGCTCACATTCTTGCATAGATCTTATCGCGTGCCTCAATAGCAGCTGCTCTTATAGGACGTCCCTTGGGTGGAGACTGAGTATTAGAATCATTAACAGCTGTGAAATCATCTTGCTGACTATCTCTTGGGGAATTAACAGTGTTCTCATTAGCAGTAGACTCTTGATTATCAATACTAACATCCAGTAGTTCATCAAAGGTAGTGCCATTGTTCCCACTCAAATCATCATCAATTTTCAATGGAATTAATTTCTGAATGGGGCGTCTCACTAACATAGAATGCTTCTCTCCAGATAATACTTTAACAACTCCACCACTCACATTACCATCAGCGCCTGTGATCACGTCCATAACTCTACCAAGTCTCCAAAAACTACGTGGCAGTTCATCACTATGGACAACAACATCTCCAATCTTGATTATCTTTTGACTCGATTTCTTGTGACCACTATGATACCTCTCTCGAAGATTCAGCAAATATTCAGTTCTCCATTTGGTCCAAAATTTGTTCATTACATTGTGAAGATATCTTGACCTGCGATTGAATAATAACGGTGAAACGTCATTTGTGAACTCTACTTCTACTCTACAATAGCATAGCTCATCAGGGAGATTGGGTAGTCGTCTACCAACAGTTAAGTGTGATGGGGTTAGTGGCTCTTCTTTATCATTAGAGGACACAAATGTGAGTGGGCAAGAATTGAGAATTAATTCTACTTCAGTGGCTGCAGTTAACAGTTCATCATATGTCAGTTTCGATCTTCCAATTATCTTTCGCAAACATCTCTTTGTTAGCCCTATCATCCTCTCAAAGATACCACCCCACCAAGGTGCCTTCTCAATGTTGAATCGCCAATCCACACGAGATTCACGCATATACTTTGCAATAGACGGATCAGTAACAATTTTGTGAATTGTCTTGGCATTGGAAACGAAAGTAGATCCGTTATCAGAAATCATTAGATTGGGGGTTTATGAGCTGTAAAACGACGAAATGACCTAAGAAAAGAGGGGCAAGAGAGGTTAGGTACAATATCTATATGAACCCCCCTAGTTATACAACATGTATAGAGACAGATTCAAACCTTCTGGCTGGACTTGGATCCCACAGGGCGGTCTGGTCTAACATACAGGGGACAAGCATAATCCACACCCGTGTGTGTAAAAGGAGGTTGTTCATTCACTCGAAATGAGGGAAGAGGTGAAGGAGGTGGGGCCTTGTAGGCCAGACCTTCTTGTCTCCTGCAAACAACACACCTTGCAATTACCTTCTTCACAAACATTCTGCCCTTAATAAGCCAATACTTTGATCTGACTTCTGTCAGAGTCTGTTTTACACCACTGTGTAGAACATGGCTGTGGGCTTGTTTAACAACTAGCAGTGAGTAGTGATGATCTCAAGGTAGGATTAGAGAGTATTTGGTGGAATATGCAAAATTGGTTTCACCAAGTCTGCCACCACACCTCCAAATACATGTATCGTCCCTGAAGAGATCTAGTTGTTTCTTCAACTGTTTGTTATCATCAATTAGAGTGCTTTGCACTTCCTTTAACCATAATCTTTCTGATCTATTCAAGTAATGCATCTCATCATCATATTTCATTTTCAATCTATCAATAAACATAAGTATCACCATTGTGACACGTAACAATCGATCAAGTGTGCTATAATTCTTAATATCCATAATATTAAATCAGTATTATTAGTTGAAGTATTAACTTTAAGAGTGTGCTGAACTTCAGCTTTCAACTCTACCAGACTACCTTTTGGTACTTCAGAGAAATTTAGATTAGGACAATCATCAAGCCTTATCCAACCTGGACCATGCCACCAGAGATTATTGTGCAATAATTCAAAAGGATTCAAACCTCTCGAGGGTATGTCCACTGGGTTTTGATTCCCAGGACAGTGTTTCCAGCTCTCAGCATTTGTCAGACACCGTATGTCTGACACACGGTTCTGGACAAACAGTTTCCAGTCACGATTAAGACCCTGTATCCAATAAAGTGTATTCTTTGAATCTGTATGGCAAGTAACATCTTTGATAACAATATTCAATTCTAGGTTGTTGAGTACTGATTTCATAAGTCGTGCAAGCAAAAGAGCTCCCAACAGCTCCAGTCAGGGAATGGTTTGCTGTTGGATTGGAGCAACCCTGCTCTTAGAAGCAATCATTCTCACTATGCAAGTCTTAAGACTCCTAATAACTAAATATATAACTGCTGCATAAGCAACAGTGGATCCATCACAGAATCAATGAAGCTTATAAATTCCTGTACCTTCTAGTGACAAACAGTAGCAGATTGGAACTCTGAAGGGCTGGCAATCCCTCAGTTCACACATGAGCGACAGCCATCTCTCTAATAGTTTACCCTCAATGGGTTCGTCCCACCCCACTCCTGCTTTACACAACTCCTGAATCAGGACCTTGGAAGTGACAGTGACAGGAGTTATGACCCCAAGAGGATAAAAAAACCTACCAGACACGCTCACAGCATGCCTCATAGTCAGTCCTGTCTCAGGAGCCATGTCTGCCACTCTACTTAAGTCAAATACCATTTCATCAAGGTGGATATCCCAAATCACACCTAAAACCTTTCTTTCACCTGTAAAACTTGTCTGTGTTTTCCCAAGTGTTGCTTCAGTGTAAGTGTTATCGGTAAGTTGTGTGGTTGGAGCAACACCTTCATTAGTAGCAATCCTCTCTCTTAAAGAGGCATTATTAGAAGTAATCTTGCATAAATTGAATCCACCCTTCATGAATTTCTTGGATTCTTGGTACAGTGAGTATGCTTCTTCCTCCCGTGATAACATAATCTACATAAAATGATTTCTTTAGCTTATTGACTAAAGATTTATGTGACTCTTGATGGAGCTCTAAATGGTGTTCAACTGTAGCATTCAATAGAAAAGGGCTACAAGATACCCCAAACACAACCCTTGCAAATCTAAGTACCAAATAATCATATGAATCCTCAGTGGGATCCTTCACCCATAAAAGGCGTAATACATCACGGTCTCTCTCTGAGACTGAGATCATAAGAAAGGCCTTTTCAATATCTGCAGTTAAGGCTACTTGATGACATTGAAAACGGAGGAGTATATCAAATATTCGTTGGCTGAATTTTGGACCAGTATATAAGCAATCGTTGAATCTGAGTAGGTGAATTCTGTACAACTTCAACTATTTCATTGTTTAGTTGTTGCTGGATAATGTTGTCATACTCCTTTACTGTGTCTGGAGTCTGCTTGAATCGTTTAAGTAGGCTGTGCAGTCTTGACTTACAGAGCTGTAAGTTATCTGGAATGAATACACAGGAATCTCTCCATGGGAGTGATACCTCATAGCGACCATCACGTAATACAACAATGGAACTTTATTGCTCATGAACCGCATCCTCAGTATCAGTAATTCACAGTGACTCTAGGTCCCACCAGAACAACCTGAGTCTCTTATCTAGATCCTTCAATGTTGGACCGGAGTCTACTCTCATTACGTGTGATAAGATTGGTACAGTGTTGATTATAGGAGGAGACTGGACCAGATAAAATCCAACCCAATTCAGTATATATAGCAACAGGTCCTCAATTACCTTGAATCCTCTCTCCCGTAACCAGTTTCTAACAGTAGTCTGAGCCAATTAATATTTCAGGCTTTCCTTGTGAAGTGTCTGCCAAATCTAGGTCTGTAATGTGCTCATATCGTTCTCTACAAACTTCAACTGGTACACCTGATATTGGTCCACATATATGTGGTACTGACAATAATCTTAACTCCATTTCAGACCCATTAGTACACACACCAATCCTTACAAGATAACACAGCTGATTACTCTCCTTGGCAGAGCGAAATGTAGACATTAGCATGGCTCTTCTACCATCTGGTTTGATGTGAAGCCTTTCCTTAAGACTATTGGTGATGTATGAACATTGACTACCACAATCAAGAATAATCCTAACTTCTGTGTTATCATCATGATTATTAGGATTGAACACTATAGCATGTGCAGTCTGCAGTAGTATATTGTGATCATTCTCAATGTTAAGAGTAGAGGAATGAGAAGATTCAGACTCAGTAGGAATATAAGAGGGAGGAAAAAAGGGAGGGGCATCTGGATTGAGTACTGATGTGTTCACCTGAAGATTTACAGAATTCGTCTGTTCAGGTGAGCCTTGTGTCTTGTGGCAGATGCTTGTGTGATGTCTGCCCTTACACTCTCTGCAAAATGATTGGAATTTACAGTCCTTCCCTAAGTGCCCTTTCTAAGGCAGTTGAAACATCTACCTTGCTTTCTAAGGATTCGTTTTCTATCCTCCACTGAAGACACTGTCTGACATTGAGTAGAATTATGGGACTCATTACAGTAGCTGCAAGATGAACTGCCATTGGAATGTGAATTAGCATCTGATTGAGTATTTGTGGGTAGGGCAGTGCCTGTGGGTAAATCCCTATCCTGCTTGGTCCGGTTGACTGATGATATACTAGCCTGTTCCCTTGCATCAATTTCATCCAGGACTGCTTCAAGAATAGAGTCGAGATTCCACTGATTATCAGTGATCTTTCGAGTAATAACAATCCTCAAATCTTGAAGTAGCTTCTTCATAATTACCAAGGATAAGAGTACTCTATACGATTCCGGACTAACACCAAGAGTTTTAAGACCTCGGATATGTGTTTCTACTGTGTCATAAAGACGTCTCAATGATGGGAGGTTCTGAATACTCATTACCGGTTCTAGACTCATCAGTGCATCCATGTGCCTTGCTTTCATTTGTGTCTGATCACCAAACCTCTTGCATAAGATATCAACAGCTTCCTTGTAGTTAGCTAATGTCAAAGACAGACCAGCTACAGCCTCCCTGGCTGAGCCTCGTAATAGTGATAAGATGTAAGTGAACTTGACCACATCAGAAATATCAGTATTGTCATGAATAGATGCTTTGTATGTATCCCAGAAGGTGAGCCAATTCGCATAATTTGCATCGAAAGGACGTAGAATTATTTCTGGTAGCCTTACCCTTGAGATGCTCTCTGTAGTACTTCGTGAACTGCTTCGGTAAGTGGAAGGACGAGTAGGAGTTGCAGTCTCCATAGTGCCAATGACCTTCTGTATTTTAAGGAGGGATTCTCTAATAGAGTCGCTTATGAGTTCTGCTGTCTCCACTTCTGTTATGATCTCACCTTCATCAGTAAGTAAAGCAATGATATCCTCACTCAATCTCTTGAGTACTTCCAGCTTTTCCTGCAGCACAGCTCTCATCAGTTTAAAGATGTCAATATCAATTGGAGTAGCTCCCAAAGCTGCCTCAAGATCAGCTATTTTCTTTGTCGCTGCTCCTCTGTGATCCACTCTCACACTTTTAATGTGAGCTAAGCTAGACGCCATATTTAATTAGTATGGTCACGTGACAAGTAAAATTATTATGAAAATTGAAAAAATTAAGAAAACAAGAAATAAGCTGAAATACCACTACTAGATTACTAGCATCAACAAAATGACTCACTACCAACTCAAAATGGGCCTCTTCTACTGCTGTGTAAATGCTGCTCAAAGATAGCTCGACTCACGCCGTCCCGATGTAGTAGTAGAGTACTGTAGCACCGCCAATTCTCTTCAATCGTGACTAGTACTGACCCTCACAGTCTGTATCCTTCTGTGGTGGACCATGTAGGAAACTCTAGCTGGCAGTGAGTATGTTGCGCTCTATAGACGCTGCTTATTCTCGGATTCTTTCTCTTAAACTTCTTTCTTTCTTAACAATAGGAACAAATCACATGCACACAACAGAGCATACTCAGTACAAATTAATCATAATAATAATGAATAATAATGAGAGAAATAAATTATTCAATTCTCAACACTAGCCAATCTATGATAAAACAGTCAAAAAATTATAGCTACATGTACATGACATCAACTAACTTTCTCTAACACAAGAAGTCAAGGTAGTAATCATATAGCACTAAGAGAATCTATTATATTGAAATAGAACATTTTAATTATACTTTCCATTAACAACAATTAGCTGCAAATTTGTTAGTTACATTCCATTTGAGAACTGCTTTCATTTTCAGCGATCTTTCTACTTCTTAACTGGTTTTTCAAAATTCCAGGAACTACGTCTCATGCATTCAGATTCTATTTCCTCCAATTCTAGTATTTTCTACAGGATAATGTAACTAAGTAGTACATTTAGGTTTGTTTACTCGTTTCTCATTTGCAAGGCCGTAGAAGTAGCAAAAGCAGTTCTGTCTCACACATACTGTCTACAGGGTACTACTCACTACATGTATTGTCTCTCCCACACAGTGTAACGACTACAAGTACCACAGTATACAGGGTACTACTCACTACATAAAGAACAATACACATAATAACATACTCCCTCTCTAACTATACCTTTCTTCATATTCTCTGCAGGGTTCTACTACTCAATAATGGTAAGTTACTATACACACAGTAATGATAAAACTAACCTCTTCTTAGAGTCAAAAAGGCTCTCTCTGCACCCAGTAATAACACCCATTTAATCTGTGTGTAAGATGAAGAACTACAAAGTGTAGTAAAGATAGGTTCACTACAATAATGACTTTGAATAAAAGCATGATCATACAGCCAATCGTCTATGAATAACTATAAAAGTGTAAGAAAGAGAGGTAAGCTTCATTAATTGTACTCTCTGCTAAATAAACATATCCTGTGTAATGAAATAAAGAACATAATATGACATGTACTTGTAGATGTATTTGCAAGTTTGTAAGACATACTCATCACATTGCGATCTATCCAGTGCCAGAAAATTGTTTACATAACATTTATTGCCACAATGACTGCTTAAATCAAACAAATCTTTATCATTTTGCTTTGGATGGTGATGAATATAGGTACTTAGGTGTCACTTACGTTTCTTTTAGCTAGAAAATTAATTTTTTTTGGTGCATTTATTATTATTATTATTATATCAATAGGAGCATACTTTGTTCATCGATTAACTTATCCAATTCTTCAAATGCTGAGTAAATAAGCGATCAATCCTATGCAGATACGATGTACTTAAAGTAACTTTCTCTCATTGTTTTGCACCAAATATCTGTTGGTTTTTGGACCGTGTTTGATTGTCACATTATTAGCTTCAAATGACAACTCATAGCTTAGATATATTATAAATTACATTAAATGTTAGAAAATTTCATATACTCTTAAGAATACATTTCTTTATTTTTTGATTTGTTAGAGGTTGGTATATTCTCCTTTTCTGCATTATAAATTTGTAATAACAATGTTTTAAGGAACATGTACATGTACTTTACCTTGCACAAATTTAATATCAAATCCTCAGTACTATCACAGTCAATCTAATTTTACATCATATTATGTGTAACATAAAATTCTTACTTACAGCTTCTTCCATTATTTTCCCATTATTGTACCAGTGGACCTTTCCAGTTTTTCATGTCCCACTATAAACCACCTTTCTATATTTTTATGCCCTATAGTTGTATGTAAATAATGTACAATACATTATGTTTCATGCCCATAATGTATTTACTTCACTATAATAATCAGTTTTGCTGTTATTGCTGAATTATCATCAAAGTCACAGAAACAAAGATACATATATAATGCTTAAGTTGTCAGTGTCCCTTTCCCTTCTAGAAGATATTGAATGTCACCTAGTGTCCACATACATTAAACGCATCCATCTTATCTGAAACAGAATGCTCATGGACACACGTTACATGTGGTTCCCTACCTTGGTAAATCACATCATTTGCTTTCACTTTTGTACTATCTTCACTTTGTGTGATCAACTCCTGAAAAAATGTCCATCTTGCATTATTTGATAATCCTTGTCATAAATGCATGTTTTGTACATTAAAGACTCACTTGTTGGAAGGGCATTTGAAAATGATTTAGCTGCCTACAGGTACATGTGCAAGTCATAATTTAATAAAAAAATTTTGTGACTGCATTTCTTGATCATTTAGTGAAAACAAGTGATTTGCACTTCTTTCTGTAAATATTACATATACAGTACATCACTGTGACATACCCCTGATCAAATATTCCATTAATACGTAATTATTATACATATACAGAATATATTTGCCATTATTGTGATTGACTATTGCATAATGTAGCATTGAGGTATGTTCCTGGATAAAGTGATTCATAGTTCATACTTTTCTGGATAAAGTGAGATAATATTCTTACATTTGCATAACATTTAGTGTATTGGGTAGAGGAAATAATTTAACTTCCTATCTTCTTCCAATTCGCTAATAATTTCTCCTATTTTAAGACATATATTGAACAAAAAGACATCACTAGTACACATGTACATTTGTAAGGCAACTGATAAAAGCCGGAATAGAAACCAAAGAAACACGGAAATGAAACGAAACGGAGAAATACGGAAACGAAACGGAATCAGATTATCAGACTCAATCAGACTCAGTGCGCATGCTCAATTGCTCATCAAGTACTGAGTTTGTTGGTGTCCTCGGTGGTGTTTATCTAGCTTCTACCCTCTATGTCTCAAATTCTTAGGCTTCTCAGACATAAGCAAGGACCAAAAGCTAAAAGGAGACTATTTAGTCAAGCTCGAGGAGAAGAGAAAGTCAGTACGGCTGATTGCCAGATTTTAATACTGACCACACCTCTTTTAATTATAGGAGGCGTTTTCGAGTTTTATTGACTTGACAAATGATTCTTGCAGTAGTAACTCTTCAAGTGATAGCGAATCTTTGGAAAGTCTTGTTTTTTCTCCTGTGAAGCCAAAGATCGAGGAGAGTCCTACTGATGTCCTTAAACAGATTATTCCTAATGTTAATGATGATGACTATCACGACACTACTGCAAGGTTCCTACCAGTTCTTGCTCGACCACTTTTAGGACAAAATGTCAATCAGTTATTTATGTTAATGCTTGGTAAAATACCAGCTGATCGCATTTGCCAGAGAAAGCCTACATCAGTAACATATAGTAGTGTGTTTGTCGTCGATCTTACTAGTATTAGATGTATTGATGACTTACGTGCTGATGATAATGGTGTGTGGTGTCATGGTGGGAAGCCTCACAGGAAGTATATTGTTGAACGTGATTCAGATACGTCAGAAGTTATTAAAGTATCACCAGTTGATGAGCACCTTGATTCTAAGGAAGATAATATCTTCACTTTGGTTCGTATGTATCATCATCATAAAGCGACACCTGAATTTCAGAGACGTATTTCCTATGTCATTGATAGTAGTGAACAGACAGTTCAGTATGCTGTTGTGCAGTATCTTTTTGAT